TAATCCAACTACTCCATATTTAAACTGTGCTCTCATTGAATTTATAGAATCCCGAAGATCCGGGAACTCATACTCAGAGTTACATTTGTTTGCTGCTGGAGTGCTGATCTCAATTGGCTGTGGATGTTTGTTAGATTTAAATTTGTTTCCTTCCATGGATAATGCTCATAGCAAACATATTGGAGGGGTCAGTCTCCCGGGGTGAAGCTCAAGACTCTAGACTTCACACCACGTACCTGTGAATGGCAGCAAAAACATAGTAAGCCGAATGCTCTTCTGTGTCCCAGTGTGTGTTATCTTGCTATCAACTCTTCCCCAACACATGTAAAGAAGCACCAGGGTTCATGTGTGACTTTATGTACTGCACTGGATCTCCCAAACAAACCAACTGCCAGCAACAACAGTAACAAGAGGAGAGCTTAACGTCAATAAAACTACCTTAGCGGGTAACTGGAAACGCTGCAATGCTAAAGAGGAAAGGCATGGGACCTTTAAAAAGAAAAGAAAAGAAAGGCTGCCAACTGGAGCATCTGTTCCTGTCAGCCACTAGCAGTGACACTCAGAAAGTGAATCCTGGATGGGAGGCTGAGAGGGCCCCGTGGGCAGGTGGCGAGGAGGCCATGCGTGCTGCGCTCATCTGTGAATTTGTAAAGGGTCTCAGTCCCGAGAAGCGGCATGCAGTTGGCAAAGCCTGATCTTACTGGCCGCATGCCTTGCGAGCAGTCGTCTTAGCACTTAAGCCACACCATAGCTCAACCGACTCCTCCTCTGCTTTGCAAAAATTCACACGGAAAAAACAGCACTTTCAGGCTCCCCCCAAAGCTGTTGCTGTTTCAAATGACAAGTCAGAAGTTACTTAGAGTGACCTTAATAGGGTTTTTTCAAGGTCGTAGCTATCTATCTAGTCTATCCACTACACCACACTGGGCACCCGCCCCCAAACTTCAACATGAAATGTGTTGTGGGAAGCACGGACCCCAATTCTGTTGCCCAAAAGACACTCTGATATAAACATAAACTAGAAAAAACATTTAGGAGCCCAGAAAATTCATACCGTTTCACAGCTAACCATTTTTTTCTGAAAGACAGGTTAGCACTACATAGTATCCTCAACAGAAGGACCTCGGGCACCCGCCCCCAAACTTCAACATGAAATGTGTTGTGGGAAGCACGGACCCCAATTCTGTTGCCCAAAAGACACTCTGATATAAACATAAACTAGAAAAAACATTTAGGAGCCCAGAAAATTCATACCGTTTCACAGCTAACCATTTTTTCCTGAAAGACAGGTTACCACTACGTAGTATCCTCAACAGAAGGACCTCCATACATGATGCACTGTGTCAGGAATTGGAAAGCTTTGTAGCACCAGGTATTTTAGATTATACAACAGATTAATGTACAGTGTTTAGATTTTAGATTATTTCAACATTGCTGCACTGAAGTTTACACAGACGATTATTATTCAAGCAATAGGTTCTACATGTATAGTTAACATATGTTAAATGCTGATTAATCAACAGAAAAGAGAAAGCAATCTATCAGTTAATGGACAGTCACCAGCTGCCTTTCAGTGGTGCTTCAGTCCACTGGTACCAAACACAGAAGATTATAAAAAGGTTTTCTCCCCTTTTTAAAAAAAAGATAATAACAATCTTGCATGCTCTAACACTGGGTATCAGTAGGAGGGTTTTTTACAGCCTAACGTGATTGTCCTTTGCCATTAAACTGGCTAGTAGAGTTCTTTTTCCACCACTGACATGTGAGGCACGCCCCTGCCAACTCTTCCTGTTGGTTTGCTTTCCTTCCACTGACTTTCTTATTGACTACCGGGTTCTTTCTCTGATCTCAGACCAAGCGACAAGCATGGAAGTCTTTTCCATATGGTAGAGACTGTATTTCCCCCTTTTTATTCTACTGACTGTAACCACAAATTGTAATTGTAAGTAAATATACCTTTTTTCTTTAAATGCTTCTAGAGCAGTGGTCCCCAACCTTGGGCCTCCAGATGTTCCTGGACTTCAACTCCCAGAAATCATGGCCAGCAGAGGTGGTGGTGAAGGCTTATGGGAATTGTAGTCCAAGAACATATGGAGGCCCAAGGTTGGGGACCACTGTTCTAGAGTACTTGTATCATAGCAAAGTGCTGGTTTGTGTGGAAAAGAAACCAAAGGGGCAAGCAGAGCTGATATTGAACCAATCTCTCCATGTTTTTTTCTGTGTCGCTGTTGTTGTTTTTCTGCCTCATACTCTGCTAACTAAAAGGAATAGCCAAAATCCTCCAATATTTTTAATGGGGAAGGGCATGAAGTTAAAAAAGCTAGGCTCCAACAGCCTCAGGTCACATTACCGGCTCTTTAAATTTTTAAAATTTACCACTGCCAGAAGAAAAACAAATGAGAACACATTCTTAGAAGAATCAAATCATCAGAATAAATAAGTAAGCAGACAAAATGAACACAATAGCATCTTATAAGATTCTAATCATACTAAATGTGTTAGCTATCTTGTCTATCATCAGCGTTCTCAGCAACAGTTTGGTCAGTGGGCAGACTTAATAATGTAATGGTCACAATCAGTTCTTACTGCATATAATTTCCCTCTGACCTGACTACAGTACAGTATTTGCAATATTGATTAATTATTTAATATACTTATATGCCAGCTTTCTCCCAGAATTAAGACTCAAAGTGGTGCACCAACATAGTGAAAAACAACTGAAATTAAAATAGCATGGCCACAATCCCAGCATGTATTATCTGTACAATGGCCTGTATAGGTTATTGGCATAGTTCAAGGTGACAAATAACTGTAAATTATCAAGTCTCCAATCAAATTTCTAGTAACCTGGCGAGTCACACAACTGGCACACTACTAAGAATTCAATCAAGGACTCTAGCAGTTATTTGCTGCTCCAAGTTAGATCAATGCACCTATGCAGGTTTAAATTATCACTTGGATCCTGGCCAGCAAACAAAAAATATTAAAATACAAATAAAATCAGTCTATCATTAGAATACAATTAAAATTTAATTTTAAAATACTAATGACAGTTTACCTAAAAAAGTGAGAATGAAAAAAAGCGTATCAGCTAATAAACTGTGATTAAGACTGCCTAAACAAAAAGGCCTTTGTCCACCAGTGGAAGGACAAGCAGGGAGCAAAACTAGCCTCTGTTAACAAAGAGTTTCAGAGGTGGGGAGCAGCCACGTAATACTCCTCTGCCAATCATATGTAAAAACACTTTATGCATCTATAGAAGTGTGCTATAATCCACAAAAGCACACACTATTATAAATTTCCTACTCTCCAGAGTTAATATTCATCAAGAGGCTCCATTCTACTAAGGTGCATTAAACTACAACTGGTTTCCTTAATGTCAGTATGTCTGTGTTATCGGTATATGTAAATGCTTTATCAGTATATGTAAATAGCCTGTGCCATTAATGGAACTGTCCCTCTGACTTGCCTACAATCCTACTTTCACGCACACCATCCATGCACACTACTGACTTTACACCTCCCAAATGAAGTCAGCCTGACTCCAACCCTGTTCAGCACTTAGCAAACAGACAAAACTATATTCATTTATATTGCCTGTGAACTTTAAATTATTTATTTATTTATCCTTACTCCCTTTTTCTCCTTAAAAAGACCCAAAGCGGCTTACATAATAAAAAGACAATATAAAAGCTAACAGTGAGTATACAAATATTTAAAAGGATCAAACAAACACTATACTAAAAACATAAGCAACACCAAATCACATTCAAAGCATCAGTCTGCAAGTCAGCCAGGGAAGGCTTGCCTGAAGATAAAGGTCCTTTTGCCTGCTTGCGGAAAGACAGCAAAGATGGGGCCAGTCTGGCCTCCTGTGGGAGGGAGTTCCAAAGTCTGGGAGCATCCACAGAGAAGGCCCTCTGCCGTCACAAACACTATACTAAAAACATAAGCAACACCAAATCACATTCAAAGCATCAGTCTGCAAGTCAGCCAGGGAAGGCTTGCCTGAAGATAAAGGTCCTTTTGCCTGCTTGCGGAAAGACAGCAAAGATGGGGCCAGTCTGGCCTCCTGTGGGAGGGAGTTCCAAAGTCTGGGAGCATCCACAGAGAAGGCCTTCTGCCGTCTCCCCACCAGACACACCTGTGAAGGTGGCAGGACTGAAAGAAAGGCCTCTCTTGATAATAACGGTTGAGCAGGGAGATAGCTTGGGCCCCAAGCCATGTAGGGCCTTTATAGGTTAGAACTAGAGACGGGCACGATTTGGCTATTTGTGCCAGTTTGGACAATGGTCCAACAGGGTGCCCACTCAGAGGCAGCACCCCAGCTTCCCTGCCCCGCCTCCTCTGAGTGCTGCCCCTGAGTGGGTGCCCGCCAGAGGGGGTGAAATGCCGAACTGTAGAACACTTGCTGGGCTGTCGTCCAAGCCAGTGGTTTGTGGCTAGCTCTAGTTAAGAACCAACACCCTCAATTCGGCCAGGAAACAGATTGGCAGCCACACACCCACAATTACAGTAATCCAGCCCAGATGTACCGTAACTAAGACATGTCACTGTGGCCAGATCAAACATCTCCAGGAACGGGCACAGCTGGCACACTGGTTTTAATTGTGTAAAGGCACTCCTGGCCATCACTGTGCAACCTGGGCTTCCAGTTTTAATTGTGCAAAGGGACTCCTGGCCATCACTGCAACCTGGGCTTCGTGGCTCAAAGATGGATGCAGGAGCACCCCCAAGTTGCACACTTGCGTTTTCAAATAAGAGGGTAACCCCATGCAGTTCAAAACCAATTTTAAAATTCATTCAAATCAAATCAAAACATCTATTAAGCCGTCACAGACCCAAGTTAAATAATACAACAATAAGAAGAAAAGAAGATAATTATTAAAACATTCTCATGTTTAGAAAAGTATTCAGTTAAATCAAAGGGCCTTTTTATGAGATCTTGCAACAGAAAACATGAACTTGGCTACAGACGGTGTGACTTGTTTGGTTTGTACCTGCCAACAGATACTCCAAATACGATGTGAATGGCCTTCCACGGCAATTTTTTTTTCATAACAGGACAGAGAAATCTGTTACAATCATATCTGTGTAGGCTACAAACAGGTTATGTGACAAAGACTCAACTACTTCATCGCCTCAGGAACACAGCCAATCCTCATAGGGGACGCCGGGATAAATCATTCATTAACTATATTTCCCTCCCACTTTTCCATTACCAAATCCTACACCAGGTGGCTTTAAAACATCACCAAAAACAACTTACAAACAAAATATAAAACAATGTATCCTCGAAGGCTATATAAATATAAAACAATTGCAAAGTAGTTTGATAATTTAAAAACCTGTCTTTTATGGTGGGTATTTGTGGGAGGGTTTTTTTTTTTTTACAAAACAATTTCAGAACCTGATGGTAAAGACTTGCTTTATCTTTTTTCCACTTTTTTTAAAAAAAGCAATAAAAACACTTTCAGTAAATATTGCATGAAAAATCATGCTTTTTAAGGTGTCAGCTTTTAAGTTTTTATAGTAACCTCCTTCCCAGCACGGTGACCCCTTTTTTGGAGCAGTTCCAGCCCGACACAACACAACACTGCCTGACACAAAAGGTACCACAAACAGGGTCACAAAGAAGAGTGAAAATAACCAGCCCCGACCACACCGTGTGGCAGGGTCGGTGGACCGGCCCTCTCTAGAAATGTGTAGGCCTCAGGGAGGCGGTGGAAGACAGGAAGGCCCGGCTTGTGCTCCGGTCCACGGGGGTCACGAAGAGTCGGACACGACTCAACGACCACAAGGCCGCTAAGGGTTCCCATGACAACGCGGATGAGCCACACACCCAAGAGGCCCCGCCCGCCCGCGAAGAGGAAGCACTCTGCC